TACTAAATTTCAATTTGTTAAGCTGCATGAAGAAAATATCATATATGGAAGGAAAGCTTCACAACTATATTTTTTCTTCATATAAATTTTTATGAAGAAGACTACTTGTGCTTAATTACAGAAGTTATATATCCATTTTCATTTTCTGGTTTGATTAATTTTATTTAATTATATGATTAGGAATATTATTGGAAATTGTGGATAAAAAAGGATGAATTAAAGAGGAGAGGGTGAAACATGTGAAGAGGGAGTGGGTGGTGATAGTTGCAAACTTGCAAAGTGGTGACTAGTGAAGTTAGTTGGGAAGGAAAGAGAGAAAGAGGGGTATGTGGCAGTGTTTTAAATGGAGTTGGAAAGACAACACAAGTGTTTTGTTGTTTGTTAACTGTGAATGAGCAGTTCGAAAGAGAATTTAGATGCGGCAAGGCGACATATGGCTATGTTTAACTATGATAACAAATAGATTGATTTACATTATTAAAGTTAGTACATAGTAGTACTGCAAACATAACAAGTACATGGTTTAACTGTGCACATAACACAAAAACATTTAAAATACCTTATACCTACCTAGACAAGACTTTTGTAGTGTATTCTGATGATATTAATTGAATTGAATTGAAGTTGAAATGCAACAAACTCTTTATAATGTGGTGACTGTTAACTTTTGTTATATTAGTAATAGATATCCACCTGATGACTTGAGTCTTTGCAGAGTCAAGTGAGGTCTTATTTATTTCTCAAGAAAAAAAATCAAATAAGTAGCTACCAACTGGTCACTACAGGGCCATATCTGGTCTGCATTATTTGGTCTTGTACATTACTAGTTTCATTCATCAACATGTCCATCTGACTTTTCTGGTGTCCCTTGTTGTGTTCCTTTCTGCTAACTGGGAATTGCATGTGTACAATGCCTTTTTACATAGACTGAGTTTGCCAAGATGTCGGTGTGGGCAGAGGACTGAATTTGCCAAGATGGATGTCGGTGTAAGCTGAGTGACAATGCCAGTGTGCTAGTATACGGTATGTTACGTTCCTAATCCGAAGATGTTTGGCACTTTGGGGGTATGATCTGTACCTTCATAAGACGAACATTATATATGACTAGGCCTATTGGGGATGACAGAGCACCTAGAGGATGTGCAGTGCTCAACTCTACTAGATGTACAGATATGCCTTTCAAACAAAATGTGATATGCCTTTACATAGTACATTGGTACATATTCTTTTTGTCTGTATATTTAAATCTGTGTTGTAAGATCAAAGTTTCAATACAAACTGATATCTAACAATCGGATATACAAACATGTTCTTCAATAAACTTGTAGGGAGTTAGTCCTCAAGTTTATACATGATTTCAATCGCAATATCAAAAAATTTATACCTACATGTTTGTAGTATGGTTAATTAAACCATTTTCATTAAAAGCGAGAGAAGACTATATATGGTTAATAAGATAAGTTCATTAAAATATAGGGCATTTAGCTAGTGATATCTTTTCAATGGTGACAAGAGTGAGAAGAGAGAATAGTTAGAAGCAATTGCTTGATCATATCCAAAGCATCTTAATTTCAAATCATTGTAAAGCTAGACGCGGCGATGAGAGAATGGTTCTACTTCCAATGGATATTATAATGTGAGGCTGCGAAGAACCTGAACTGCTCTTCCCTTTTTCTTAAAATGTTGATTATTATTCTTGAAATGAAACCTGGAAAAAAGATGAAGAAAGTGCCATGTTTCACTCAGCTTTGTGTCAAGAAATTCAATACAGATAAAAGTGTACTTAAAAAGCAGAGAAAAGATGCTCTAATCCTCTTCTTTTTTTTTTTTAGATGCCTATAGGTTTCATATAGTTAATTTGCATTGCATGTTCTTTACACTATGTTTGGTTTCTGTTAAGAATTAGATTACTTGAAGTTTTTGTGCATGATTCCAAAGAAAGAAAAGAATATAGGTTGCTTCATACACTGCACAATAAACGATTCCTTAAAATTTGGCATCTCTGCCATTTCAGGAATTTCAAAAATTTCCTGTCAGCATTTGCTAAAGTAAATTATGCGGCTAACCTCACTTAAAAGTGGCGGCATCCTTTAAAAAATCGATGTTAAGTATATGTTAGTAATGTGCACTTAGCTTGTGCCATACTGCCCTTTAAGTATATAATCATCGATGGCAGGCAGACGCTTCATTTACCTGTACGTACGTCAGGAAGTTGTATTAAAATGTTCACAAAATCACAAGCCATAGATCAGGCTGTTGATTTTCTTGGCCAAGGCTGGCAACCTAGACCATGAATTATAACTAATTAAGCTATTTGCTCGATCTCTGATGCAAATAGCTAATGTCTTATGGAATATATATATGTCCCCTAATGCAGCCAAAAGAGAGGGTACTATGGCAAACAACATTCATGAACAATCAACATTGACAGTACTTCTTTCAAGCGTTGGATCCTGTTGCAAGAGCTACAATTCAACCTCCAATGATCAGAACATGATCTGATTAGACCAAATACCTTATATTCCACTTTAATTATTGGGTGGAACAAATGATAGTGTTTTGAACTAATCCTACTTGCTATATATTGGACTATATATATACATAAATTTTTCTGTGATATGGAGAGATTTGGAGTTATGCGGCGAAGGTATAGATATTCTTGACCTTTCAAGAAATTCTGTCCCCCATCCTACCTTCACCAAGCTACTGAAGCGGGGTCACAGTTACACTAATTATAACAGTGCTATATATAGAACATCTCTAACGCATTCGATCATCAAGTGTGATGGTCTAATTTGATAAATTTTCTGTACAAATAAAACACATTATATGTAAGCAGTCATGATCTGTCTGAATCAATCTCCATAGTGCTATGGCCTATATATATATATAGCTGGATATACAAATGATTTCCACATAGAAATGTGAAAAGAACAACTTGAGATATATATGATTAGCCACAAAATACCTTAATCGAAAATCAACAAGTTCTAATAATCAAGAGATTCAGTGCGTCTGATGTGGTTCCCTCCAATGAGTGTTTATCAAATGGAAATATCTATTAAGGTTTTCAAGGACGCAATTCATAATGCTAGCATAAGCGTGCTTTGAAGACTATAGCTAGAAATCCTCTGCCCTACAATTCATAATATCTTAGGATGTTGCCATGCACTTATGCTTGCGTGGGAGACACCGAGTGACCGTGACCGAGACAATAGTAAAAGTGCACACATATATGATTGTCCTTTAATTTAGATAGCTAGGCAGAAACTAACATACTGAAAGGTACTGAATGCAAATGATATGTATGAAGAATTTAGTGCAAGTATGAACACTAGATAGAAAGGTGGCCGGCCACTTATTGAAGGAAACTGTAATCGAAAACGTAAGGTCCCATTATATATGGTTTATGATTATTCTCTCATAAAGATCGAATAATAGTCGTTCAAATAATGAGTGTTTGAGTTGAGGCATTTTTAGAGGATGACGACATATATATGGAGTACATGGTGTGTGTGTAAAACGCAATCTCGCGTGTGTAGAGCAAAACACAAATCATTTGAGTGCCTTCAAGGAGTCCACATCATTTCATCGATGTGGCTAGGCCTGGACGACTTAGGTTGCTTGACAGAAGCATTCAACCTCTTTTCTATCTTCTGTTGATTGTTTTGGCTTACAAAAAGTAGTTCTCCCACAATATATAGGGGCTCTGACAGATTAAGTTTTGAAATGTTTATGAATAGTCAGAGTAAACGCCCTTCTGTAGGAATCGAACCCACCCACGACCACACGGTTAAACCCCCATGCGCTCTACCAGCTGAGCTAGGATGGCATTTATTCAAACTCCAAATCATTTCATAATCTAAAATAAAGCTGTTAAACATAAGTAAACACCTTGCACCAACTTCTCTATCAAATCAAATTACAGTACAACAAAAACAAGCAAAATAAAAAGATTAATTACCTGCAGACATGATTGACATGTTAATGTGATGAAGTTTTAGACAATCATAACCATGTATTAGTGATTAGTCCCTACACCCTACAAAAAGGATTTCCGATTAGATTTCTGTGATATGTTTTCAGTGATTTTAGAGAATGGATAAGATCATATAGATCCTTTATGTTCATCTTTATTCAGACATAATAACTTATTTTGGACCCTTCACCGTAGTACCTTACTACCTTTGGGGTAATCAGTCATGATTATGGCTTTAGGGCCTCATTTCATTTGCAGGTGATAGAGGCCAAGTACTTTTGTCTAAACAATAAAACAACCCCAATGACCCGAGAAACAACTGCTAGTTCAGCTGGTTTCTTATCCCTCTCACAAGACTCCTACAAGTGAAAACAACCCCAATGACCACAGAAACGAAAAAATAGGCAATTTGGTCAGTGAACTTTCACTTTTTTTTCAATTTGGTCAAAGAACTTTTTTTTTTGCAAAACAAGCAATGAACTTTACTTTTTTTTGCAAAATAAACAAAACTTAGGCAAAATGCTTGTTTTGTAAAATCAAATTACAACTTGTATTTTGCTTAACTTTTGTTTATTTTGCAAAAAAAACCAAAGTTCATTGCTTGTTTTGCAAAAAAAAAAGTTCTTTGACCAAAGTGAAAATAAAATGAAAGTTTCTTGACCAAAAAGCAATTCGTCCGAAACAGAAACAACCCCAATGACCCATTTATTACTTAACATGTGTCACACTTT